GGCCGGGGGTGAGAGGTGGTGGGTGGCGGCAGGGTGAGGAAGAGGAGGGAGGTGCAAGGAGAGGGAGACGGGCCAACAGAAGCCCCTCGGCACCCGAATTTGAGGGGAGGGGGGGTCGGAATTGGTTGGGAGGTCTGGGGACACTGGCCTGGCGCACGGGAAGGCACCTGGCAGCCTCATCTGCGTGCAAGGACATGAACGGACAGACCCAGAGGTGTCAGACGCAGGTCTAGGCGTTACACGCGTTTTCAGGGTAGCCCGGGTGAGAGGGAGATCAGAGTCGGAGCGGAGGCCCGGGCTGGGGGACAGGCAGAGCAATGGGAGTCCGGGACAACAGGGAGGACTGGGGTGGGAGATTCAGCTCAAAATGTGACTCTGCATCCACGGGGAGATGCCAGAGGCAAAAAACAAAACAAAACAACAAAAGTAAGTTAGAAGGCAAATGTGAATTCAGGAGTTGGAATTGCGTGCCTGTCACGTAGAGAGAGTAGTTTAATTTTAACGCGAGAAGATTAGGTAGAGATAACAGCTAGAGGCCAAATGGGGGAAAAGAATGAAATTGTTACAGAACACCTCAAATCTAGGAGCGGGGAACCTGGATAATGCTGCATAGTGGTCCTAATGACAAACAGGCTGAAAGAATGGTTAGGGGAGCAACCAGAAGTCACTGGACCAAGCAAAGACAAGATGTCAAGAAGAGTATTGTTGAAGGAGGTTGACAGATTAAGCAGGCTCTGATTTGGTAGGAGCAATTCCTTAGGAACGTCAATGACAGCAGTTTCAGCTGAGCGCAGAGATGAGCAGGCGGACTGCAGCCTGCAGCAGAGGGACATCAGACCGTGATGGTGAGCTCCATGTCCATTGAGTTTATGTGTGAGAAGAAGACGGAAGATGGGGTAATAACTGGGAAACAAACTGGATTGAGAAGTTGGCTCCTGCTCTTCTGCACAGGAGAGATGGAAGAATTCTTGCGCTGTAAGGGAAATATCTAGATTAAAAGATTCTTTAACCTTTTAAGGGAAGGAAAGGAAACTGTGAGCGTGTGTGAAAGGGCGATAGTGTGATGCAAAGGGATTCCCCCCTAACGCTCACTTAGCACAGGAGAAGAGAACAGAAGTATCTGGAAAAGGTAGAATTTCAGGAGACAAGCAGAAAGGGATGGCAAGCAACGGCGGTGGAAAAAATCAGGTGAGAAAATGCTCCCTGAAACTGATTCAGTTCTGTGCAGACAGTGAGGACAGAACGCATTAAAACATTAATAAAAAGCTGTCTATGGTTTTTGTGCATGGGTTTCTGTTGCTTGGGGAAACACGGATATAAGTTAGAGTTGCATGTTAGGAACACACATTTGTCATGGAAGCCAGCCAAGTCCCCGGCTTTCCTCTAGGACTGAACAAAACGAAAGCAGAGGCACAAAAAGCAAATATTGAATTTGAGTTGTGTCTGCGGTTTAGTAATGAGAGAAAATGAAGGGTCAAGGGCAAAGAAGAATGAAGGGCGAAAAGCATCAGCAATCAAAAGCCATGAAAGGAAGTAAGGAAAAAGCAGAAAGGAAAAGCCAAGAGCAAACAGTAAGACATGATGAAGAACGCTATGGGAAAGCAAAGCATCAGTGTATGGGAAGGCTGAAAGTTGATGGCAGAAATCAAGTGATAGTCAAAAGAAGAGGGTGCAATAGTAGAAAAATCAGAAAGGCAGCACTACTTGGTGGAGGCCTAGGTCGGAGAACCATTTCTTTAATCAAAGAAAGCTGCAGTCAAATAAGAAGGTGAGGATAAAGAACGCGCAAGGGTAAATGTGACTGGGTAAATCAGCTGGGAAATGAAGCCACTGGGGACGGGTGTGTGAGACTGTGCAGAAACAGAGAGATAGTTCCAAGAGGTGAAGCAAAGAAAGGTGACGAGGAGGGGCTGTATGTGCGCTGGACGGCAGACAGAAGAATTGAATGTGCTACCTCCAAAAAAAAGAGGGGAAAAGAGTCATTAGAAACTTTATTTAGTTTATTCAGATTTATTGAGATTTGTTAGATTAATGTGATAGTGTAAGAGGGATTGATGGCTGGAATATTGCTGCTTGTCTTTCTCTCTCCCATCCCTTTACTAACTGAGGGAGTTTGCCTAACTTGATCTCCACTGGCTCCTAACTGAGCATTTGAAAGATTTCTTCAAGAAAATTAATGTGTTCTCTGTTTGTGTGTATATATGTGTGATCCAGGGTCAACTTACAACTAGAAATGAATTTATACAAATACAACCTCATATGAATATGCCTGTCATATGATAAGTATTCTGACGCTCCACAGCTCAAACTTTATGGTCTTCATAGCTATCTATACAGTAAATGGAGAGTAACTTTGGTCATTGTTTATTTTACTGCAGCTCAAGTATACAGTGAAATATACTTCAAAAGAGAGTTCCAGAAGTATTGCCTTCTACCCATATATTGTTGAAAATGAAAAGTGTATAAAACTTAAGTCATATATAGACATACTGCTTCAGAGAGACAATTTGCAAATGTCTGTCAAGAAGGAGGCCATATGGAAGGGCTGGCAGAAGGGCAGCTAGTGAACCAGTTATATGTGCCAAGTTCAATTTGTCACACTTTATAGTACTGGAAAATATTTTCTTCTCATTTTGAGAAACAAAACTCTCATTAGTAAAGGTTCAACAACATATTCCTCAAAATACATCTTTTATAAATGAAAAGATACAATGTGCCTGCCTTTAGAAGCCTGGACTCTCAGGTACATCATATGGCATGTAGTAAGTATACAATACTGGTTTAAAACATAATAGAGGGACTGTCATTTCTCCACTAAAAATGGTAGCATTATCTTAATGAATCCTCGGAGCTGGAAGACTGACACTTCACAAAAGCGAAGCATATCAAAACGAGACATAAAATTGTTAACAGTGGACCACAGCAAGTGCAAATGTAAATGAACAATTGCAGAAGTAAAAGCAGTGCAGTCAATGATAAAATCAGCTTTTGTCCTCAAATATAACAATTTTACTCTTTTTAGAATTACTTTGGGTACATTTCATTTCAAAATCCCCGTGTTCGGTCTTTCAGTTTTTATTACTTTTACTTTAGACTGTAATGTTTTTCAACAGTATGACCCATTTATGGAAATTACTTAGCTCAGATAAAGCAGCAGGAACTGGAGCTGCTGAATGAACTGAAACTGAAGGCACCAACTGAGTATTCCAGTTGTGTAAAGAACTTGCTGGTACTGTATGTGGTAGTGAAAAATCTGTGTACAATTTATCCACCCAGGCTGCTCAACTTCTAAGTACGTGCAGTGAAATTCAGACCTTACTGGAATCAGTGGGAACGCTCCCACTGGCTTCACCGAGCACTGAGATGCTATCGCAAACTCACCAAATATTGTAAATGTTCATATATTTTATCAATGTTTAGTCATAGATTTCGGCCAGAAAGTAGAGAGAGCAGTGATATTTTTGGAATAAAATTACAGTGGGACTACTGAGGGAGAAACAACTGGTTTTCAAATGGTGTTTGATATATTTTATGGCAGGCATTAGGAAGTTATCTTTTAAAATTTTGGAGTAACACCACGTCAGAAATCAAAACAGTATGAAATAATACGTGATGAACAATAAATTGTGAAAATAGTAATGTTATATATTAAGCCAACAGAATAAATGCATTGATCCAGCAACAAAGCAAAAGAAAGTAACTCTTAAGACTTAAGCTTGCAAATATGATGAGTAGTTTAAAGGCTAAACTGCTCATCTGTATGAGTTAATGCAACATGTAGATTGAATTTAACATAGCCTGTAACTGCTCTTCAGATGTATAGTTGCTAATAAGCATTCTGCCAGTAAGACATCTTTGTAGCTGGCTTCATTAAGATCAGAAAAAGCTGAACCAAGATCTTACTTAGTCATGTCTCTCCTCAAGGTTTTTATGAAAAATTAGAATGAAGTAGCTACAGGAGGAAGAAAAAAATGATTGAAAATAACAACTGTCACAGAATAAAACACACTTGCCAAGCTGTCACAGTCCACCCTCACAGCATCAGTTTCAGCAGTCTGGTCTATGATTATTTATCGTGAAGTGCCGTCAAACCTTGAACTGATCTTCACCACGGTTGCTGCGTACCTTGTAAGGTTCTGAGGGCTCCTTAGTCCCTGGCCTTACACTAAACGTTTCTGTTAGGTCAAAACCAAGAGATAGCTGAAGCACAAGGTGGGCCTCCGAACCTGGTCAGTAAGAAACGTAGAGAAGAGGAAAAGCAATACAAGAAGGGCCTGATAGTGTCTCTGTGTCACACAGGACTGTTCAGTCAGTGGAAGTTTTGTATGAGGAGACACTGTGCAATCAGCACCCCAACAGTGTTTCTATTTAAATGTAATTGGTTGGGGCCAATTTTTGCCCTGGAATTGGAGGTGCCCCCCCCACCCCAGCAGTTCCCTGGGAATTACATACACCTTTTTTGAAGCCAAAGCGTCCTCTGTATTCCCCTTGCTTTCCTATATAGGGTTGTGAGCTGATTAAGCATAATATTTTATTATCATAACTAGCAAGCTACCCTGCTACCTTTTTAATGAATGTTTTTAACATGCAGGGATAATAAAGCTATTTAGATCTTTATTTTCATTTTGACGAGTGACTTTCCAAAGTAAAGTGAAGCCAGAGAGTTGTGGACGTTAATTCTTGCTATGAACAAAGCGTTACAATCCCATAGAGCAAAATCTGTCACGTAGTTAAAAGCTATGCAACATAGCAGCCATACCTAAAGTCATTGTTAGTAGTCTAGTTTACAGAGGATTGCAATGTAAATTAATACTTATTTTCCACCACAATACGAAATATTGCCAAAAATGGGTGACAGGTTTTTAGCATGCTGACAACTTGGGAACTGTGAGTCCATACAATAAATATACCACATGTTGACTGCTCCAGTCTTTTTCAAGATCTTGGACCTTACCAGCAAAAGCAGAGACAGCTGAGAGATGTCCAACCCACCCGGGCACACACATTCGACAGAAACACAGAGGTTCAAACGTCAGGATGTTCTCAGTGAAAAATGCGGAGCTACGAATTTCACCGCTGCTGAAGGTCAGATTTAGCTCACATCTTACCTCTGCTGATACACTAAGAAAAACCCGGTCGCAGAGAAATTTATGCACATGCTTAGCTGCGTTACCGTGCCATTGTTTTTAGCCTCAGTTAGTAAACGTGCAGGGCGCGAGGACGCGTTCACCTGCTCAGCGGAAGCTGTCCTGCAAGAACCGAGCCCGAACCTGACTTCGGCGTTGACAGCTCTGCTCTTTGTCCCTGTCTTGCAGTCAGGTCTTTGCGGATTTGACTGCGGCAGAGGGACCCTCTATTTCATTTGTCCTAAAAGCGTGTTTCCAAGTTGTTGTTAAGGGATTTTTATCCCTCCTTCTTGAAAGACCCGATCTGCTTATAAATTGAAGGGGGGGGGGAAGCACCCAAGTCCAGCTGAGATACAGATGAGATCCCATAGGAATACACATCACACTGTGGTGACCTGTGTGTTCAAGAGTGAGGGGGAGTCGGGCGCTTTCAGCAGTACGTTTCATTTTTACGGATTTCAGGGCTGTAGCGGTCACGCACAAATGGGCCAAAGACGGAGCAGTCGGGAGGCAGGCAGAAACCAGCGCGATTTACGTGTGTGTGTGAGGAGGCAGGAGGAGGAGGGGGCAAATTATATATTGTTTTTAATCCAGTCTTGTTCCCCTGCGCTGGTGGCGGCTCCGCCTGGAAGCGGAAAGGCGCAGCCCTC